AATATCGCGTTGGGTTTCCAGAAGGTTAGGCACGGTACTGCACTGCACCTACATATACCTATAATTTGATTATCACTATTAGTTATTAGAGACAATTGCAAAAATGCCACTTTTAGAGTGTACATTTGCACAAATGTCACTTAGAGGTGTACATTTGCAAAAATGCCATTAATTTTAGATTTTTAAAACCTAAATTTTAAAATTATAAACCCTAAAAAATGTTTTGATCCCTAAAACCCCTAAAATCCTCAAAACTAAACCTTAATACAACATAGTTAACCCAAACATAAATAATATAATAATTTTTTTTTTTTGAAAAAATAGTATATTTACAAAGATTTTGAAAATGTGACATTTTTGAAAAGTGGTATTTTAAAAAAAAATTCTAGTTATTAAGTTAAATAAAACTAGCATATAAGTACCCTAAATGACTTTTTTTTTTCTTTTTGATCTCAGTTATATAAAAATTGTGAAAGATAAAAAAAATTCCTCACGTTTCAAGACCATGGACTTTTGGTTCGTAATTAAGAGAACTAATTAAGAGAATTTTTCATGAGAAATTAAAAAAAATAACACTTTTTAAGTGCCACTTTACGAAAATATCACTTTTTTGAAATTTTTACAAAAATGCCACTTTTTCAAAATTATTTTTTCTTTATATGATTTATGTTTGGGTTAATTATGTTCTATTAGGGTTTAGTTTTGAGTGTTTAGGGGTTTTAGGTGTCAAAATATTTTTTAGGGTTTATAATTTTAAGATATAGGCTTTATAAATCTATAATTAGTGGCATTTTTGTAAATGGACACCCCTAAATGACATTTTTGTAAATGGACACCCCTAAATAGTATTTTTATAAAAATGCACACAAAAAGTGGTATTTTCGTAATTGTCCCATTTTTCATTAGGCTAATGTAGTTTCATGATTTTAATTCAGTGTAACATATTTTCTCATCACAATTAATTATTTAATCACTGTAGCTTTGGAACTAGTGTAGTTAGTTAAGTAACACTTGGCTCTTAAGAATGGCTTTTGCATTATAAAACTCCCCATTAATTTGACTAGTTGAATGCTCAAGAGTCTTTTAAACCAAATTAGTACGTTATTTAATACTCCACTGTAAGTCTGTAATTATCAACTTGACCACTTGATATGTATTTTAGTGAAGTAGAAAATTAATAAACTTAAACACTTTACTGACCAAATTGTCATTTTGACGTGAGCAGTGACTTCAAATAGACAGTAAATAACGAATAGCGATTCTGATTAGGCCCATTTTTGAATTAAATAAGATTATCATATATTGCAATAAACCAAAATCAGTAACTTAATTTTAGATATATATAATGGCAAAAATCCAAATCACATGGAAAAAAAAAGATCGAGAAACAAAAACGATTAATGATCACTACATTACGGATTTACAAAAAAACTCTGTTTGATTCAAAACCCAGAAACGACGAGACACTCCGGTAAAAACCCAGAGCAAATCTGAAGCCAAAAAACTGAGAAACACAATCAGAAATCGACGAGGTGAGAGGAGAAATCAGGAATTATGGAAGACGACGAAGGTGAAGGAAAGAGGAAACCGCCGATCCGTAAAGCGTTTCTATCGCCGGAACGCCGTGGGAGAATGCCGGCGGTGATTTTAGCGAGAGCCGCCGTGTATTCCACAAGTAGCTTAGTGATAATCACAACTGAAATCATGATTCGATTTTGTTTTTGGATTGGTGGATCTAGAAATTTCTCGGCTCTTTTGTTTTTGAAAAATGAAAATTTTGAGTTAGTGAGAGAATATGTGAGATACCTCTTTGACTTTATATAGGCGAGTGGTAACCATTTTTTAATGTTAAAATTTTGATTTTTTATAACCAGACAAATATATAGATGGGAACTTAAAGATTCATCAAGGATTTGTTGTTTTGCAATCATGTAAATTATATATAGCATTATCTATTAGTATTTGTTTAGTACTGCACAAATCAATAATTCATTGACTTATTCATGATTAGCATAAATCTCTCTTTCGACCAAAAGTTAAAAAAAAACATAAAACTCTCTATATACATAACCCTGTAATTTTTTGTTTTGTTTTTGGCGATAAATAGAAGGGTTAATTAACATATTAGCCAAATTTGAATTATTAATTAATAAATTAACCATGTAATAAATATAATATAGTAGGTAGTCAATGGGGATTGCAAAATTACCTTTGACATAAATATAGACTATTTGTCAGTCTACTCTATGTAGCCTAACATAAATATTAATTATTTTTATTTTAAAATTATTTCTATATAACTAACCCCGAAATGCAAATTATCAGAATTTAAACCTAAACCATTAAATTCTAGTCCACAAAAATTAAAGAGTAATTGCAAAAATGCCATTTTTAATGTGTTTATTTTTAAAAATATCATTATAGGTTGTCTCCTTGCAAAAAATACCACTAATTAAAAAAAATTAAATCTTAAATCTCAAATTCTAAACCCTAAAATTTTTTTGACCCAAAC